GGGTGATTATCGGACAGGACATAATCTGCGTCATCTTTTACTACATATTTATACGCGCTGAAGTAATTATCGTGTTTATCTGAGAAGTTCACTTTGATTCCATGACGCATGTCAAGAAAATTCCGGACGGCCAGCCACCTTGTGTTCTTGTGCAGTTTCAATGCCATATGGAAATGCTTGCCACCATCCTGATGCATTTCTTCACTGACTACCCACTGGATTATTCTTGAGAGACAGGAGTCATTCCACGCATCGAGTATTATCTGGGCAAATGCTTGTCTACTTAGACCTGAATTACCGCATTGACTATAGGTTATGAGATAAATCGATCTTTGTTTAATTGGAGGCTTGGATTGAACAGCTTGCGTTCGAGACGAAGACATACTTGAATATGATACACCTTCGTGTTTAGCGGAAACTCCAAAATACCTATTAGGTAGTATGCAGGCTAAACCTTATACTCCCACTCAAAATTATGATCTGGAACATAATTCAGAAAATATTTCAGCATGGATACAATTTTATTCTTCCATTTTTAAAGCTTATTAAGATGTATGACATTGGTTTTATTTTAGATGTCGTAGCGTAGTTATACAGACTGTATACATAAGTGGAAAAGTAATATATACAACCCCCCCCCCCCCTTTGCGAAATACTCTTTGAACAAATCAACCTTTCTGGAAAGCATTAAAAATTAAAATGCATTATTACTCTATAGAAAAAAATTACAAGACACAGTGGAATATATAACGATTAAATGTTGAATTAATCATTAAAATACATAAACAAGTCTCTATATCATAGACAATCTTTGACAATATACTATGGGACAATGTCGTTTCAAAAACGTTATATAGACATTGTACAACTTTTCCTCGTGAATATTCATCCCTCCCTCCCCCCACCCTTTTCAATGTTGCGTTGATGCCCGATGACGTCTCGTTTGCGATGTATCCATTTTTTGTGAAATCAACATTGAACGGGGGGGGGGGGCGCGGGGGGAAATGGACAGAAGAAGTTATATGAACTTTCACTATTTGTCTCATAGTTTTTGGCAAAGATTGTATATCATCTGATAAATGAATTTTCAGTGACAATAATTCGGGTAGGTATTTTTCGAGTTAAGCCCTTCGAGTTAAACCCTTTTCGAGTTAAGCCCCTGCCACGCCCTTTTTCGCCGGGGGCTTAACTCGATGATCACAAGGTTGTTTTAGTACTTCGAGTTAAGCCTTGGGGCCTAACTCGAACTCAATTAACGATTTAAGCATTCGAGTTAAGCCCCGACATTTGGCGGATGTAAATAGGTAACACGTGTATTCTCACAAAAATATTCGCAAATATAACGGAGGGAGAATGTAAAATTTCAGCAATTTTTTTAGGAAATTTCTTTTGCTTTGCCTACAGATTTATACATCAATGACAATAACACCGTGAAATAAGAAAACTCAATGTGATTTGTTATAAACAATAGCTCATTCAGGGCAGCAATTACGGCTTTAAAAAATAAATCATATATAGCGGCACTTGCAGAAAGCAAATCGTGGGCATGTTAATGTTGGCGAGCTACCTTTCTAACCGACTTAACCCGGCAACAACTAGATCTAGAATATTATATAAACTCGTTTTATTGTTTTCCAGCGACTGTTTACACAACACAACCGAGTAACTCAACTTGCCAAAACATAACAGATACAAATATTTCCACTATATAATTTACCGACGGCAACTAATAACAATGGACCAATCCCGAATTAACCAACAAGTCTAGACAAAAATTTCATCATAGTTTGAAAGAGCATCACAAAATTAGTAATATTCCAAAGTTTCGTTGCAAAATGTTGTAAAATACGGATAATATAGCCTTGCGAAGTTTGCAATTTTCAGTCATTTTGTGTTTATACGCACAGAAGTGGTAACCATTTCCCGATTGTAATCTAAAATGACTGAAAATTGCAAACTTTGGAATATTACTAATTTTGTGATACTCTTTCAAGCTGTGACGAAATTTTTGTCTAGACTTGTTGACTTAATTGGGGATTGGTCCATTGTTATTAGTTGCCGTCGGTAATTAGTGGAAATATTTGTATGTGTTATGTTTTGGCAAGTTGAGTTACTCGGTTGTGTTGTGTAAATAGTCGCCGGAAAACAATAAAACGAGTTGACATAATATTCTAGATCTAGTTGTTGCCGGGTTAAGTCGGTTAGAAAGGTAGCTCGCCAACATTAACATGCCCACGATTTGCATTCTGAAATGCCGCTATATATTATTTATTTTTTAAAGCCGTAATTGCCGCCCTGAATGAGCTATTGTTTATAACAAATCACATTAAGTTTTCTTATTTCACAGTGTTATTGTCATTGATGTATAAATCTGTAGGCAAAACAAAAGAAATATTTCCTAAAAAATTTGCTGAAATTTTACATTCTCCCTCCTTATTTGCGAATATTTTTGTGAGAATACACGTGTTACCTGTTTACATCCGCCAAATGTCGAGGCTTAACTCGAATGCTTAAATCGCTAATTGAGTTCGAGTTAAGCCCCGGGGCTTAACTCGAAGTACTAAAACAACCTTGTGTTCATCGAGTTAAGCCCCCGGCGAAAACGGGCGTGGCAGGGGCGTGGCAGGGGCGTGGCAAGGGCTTAACTCGAAAATGGCTTAACTCGAAGGGCTAAACTCGAAAAATGCCTACCCCACAATAATTGTGCACACCTACATTAATTATAGCCATACTGTCTTTAATTTTTATAAAATGCGGTCTGAGACCTTGCCAATTTGTATATTCATATATTAAATTAAACATGTTAAGTGGACCAAGTGGTAGATGTTTTCTTGATATGTGTAATTAAAAGAATTTAAATTTTACATAAATTCACTAATATTTGCGTTTGTTTTCTTTCACACCCCCCACACACACACTTTATGGCAAGGCAGCACTTCACTTGCGATAGTAACTTCTAGTACTATTATTTTATGTCGCTACGGATCAGTTGCGCAGCCGATTATAAACTGTAGTATATTTGGCAGGTATGAGCGCACTGTAGCTAAATCTGCTATATATATATTGTCATCTATACAATGGAAGTATCTGTTTATAAACTATCTCAAATATACGTCATACACATATATAAAATGAAAGCGTTTTATAATAGGACATATTCATCAAACAAATTCTTGCGTGAACAGAACTATAGCTAGATTTCTTGTCGCCAAACAAAACAGTTAGACTGAGCACTGAGTCAGTATGTTTCTCAGTCGGTATATTACTTTAAATAGATATATACACTGTATTAGTACCAAGTAGCATTAGACAATTTTCCAATTCCCCAAATTACTTCACACACTGATGAAGAAACACGAATTTAGGCGAATAGTTTGTACATTGGTTTGCGTTCCGTATAAATATGAAAGATAAACTAATATACAGGAGGCGTATATGATATATCGTCTAGAGCTATTGGACGGCAGTCCTAATAGTTCCGATTGTTATTTGACTGCTAAATAAAATTATCACAATCGTTCCTTTTAAATATTGAAGTATATAAACCAGTTAAAATATACCCAAAAATTGTTCTAACAGTAAGAAATTTAAAGCCAAATACATGGCCGTTCCGATTATAAAATAACACGACGCCATTTCGTATTCGCACCAACACTGCTGGAAAAAACGAAGCCTGCGCTTCCAGGAGCAAAACGCATAGCAACCGACCACCTTGTTGACTGAACCAAGATTACGATGCCTCCTCTAATGTTATTTATAATCTCTATGATTCCAATGGTATTGCAGCCATCACAAATTTAATGTGTTTTTTTTTTCATTAGGCAGTAATCTTCCTCATAAACAGTGCTACTTGAAAAATTCGCTTTGGGAAACGCAAGATATTTTAATCCTTTTGGGACTTTTCCTACCTTTGCCGTCACAAACTTTCCAATTATCACCACCCGCTAAAATGCCAAATTAGTAACAAGTTTGCGTGGCGTCTTAAAATTTAAGGATTTACAATAACGACATACCTGTGTTAGCGAGTCGTTCTCCAAACAGAAATTGATTAATTCCTCGACAGTCTCGTCTGTGGTCTTGTATCCTGAACATCGTAGTATGTTTTTCCTCACGTTCTCTTTACTTGTCACCTTAGCTCCGTTTTTTAAAAGAAATTGCAAAATTTCTACTTTTCCACAAAAAAATGCCCATCCTGCTACCGATAACATTTGATCATCTATATAGTCGACGAGCTCCGGGTATTTTTCGATCCAGAATTTCACAATGTTAAGATTGTTGATTTCCACTGCATAGTGCACTGCTTTTCCAAGATCAGTACACGACCTACATTAAAATAATTGAAAGTAGTCCTCGTGAGAGCAAATATTCAGCGTGTTGGATATGAACCTGGAGGAAGATCCAGGTCCAGGAAATAGGTAGGCAATTTGTCTGAGCCTGCGCGCGAAAAATTAATATGGCAACATATATGAGGATGATGATGATGATGAACTTTATTTAAAAATCACACGCTAGCCTCGTCAACTTTCGCTGATTTCCACGAGGGGCGTGTCAATTACATTATAAATAGTAGCAAACATTAAAAATGAACATATTTGCAATAGTCAACCTAATATTATACCATAATAATTACATTTACATTATATTATGAGAAATTGTGAGGAGTGTTTCGTGGATTTATCTGGTTTTAAAGCTGATAAAACAACATTTTAATATAATGAACGATAACTTTGTAATAAAACTTTGGTTTTAAATAAAAAATAAGTAATTTTGCGTTATTTTATTGCTTTTTATGCTTTGAAAACAGACAAGCTCATTTTTTTGAAAAAAATCTAAGGGATGGACCATTAGATATTTGAGGGGGGTGGGGGGTTGGGAAATTTTTTTGTGAGAATACCCCAACTACTTTTTCATACCCCAACTACTTGCAAGAATTTTTGTTTCTGCAGCATTCCTTTGCACGATTTTTTTAAGACGAAAGTTCGTCGACGGGGGGGAGAAGAATACATTTTTCGATGGTGTCGTAAAACACCATTCTAATGTTTTAAAATAATTGCATTACGATTTTAAAAACCAGCCCTAGTTCTTGCTCGATTTTTTTTCAATAGGTTTGTTGTGCACCATATTTTTTCTGTGCGCGAATATTTTTTTGGTTTTT